ATTTTACAAACATATTACATTATCATGACCTGCTGCTTCACTTCACCAGTGTGAGGTGAGAGGTCAGCATGTGCAGGTCAAACTGGGCAGCAACAGGTCAGTCACTGTGAGCAGGGCACCCTCTAGTGTCACATCCAGAGTATGGCAGAGCGGCAGCAGAAGCAGCACAGCCATGTTGGCCGTGTGTGGCAAATAAGTGAGGTCGCCTGGAGGTTAGTTTGGTGTCAGAGAGAGAGTCAGCAACTGAGAACAGACCTGTGGATGTCAGGGTTGGGCGAGGGAGAGAGGGGGAGAGAGGGGGAGGCAGCACTTTTGATTGTTTGCATAGGCCAGGATCCATAAACAAAGCCAGGCCTGAGGCCCTGCTGCATCTGAGGGCGAGAGAAACTAGCTTCAACCTCCAAGTTGAGATCAGACTGTGTGAATCAAAGACAGATTCTTATCTCTCTTCACTGCAGTCCTGGTTATGAGAGCTGCAAAGATGAACCTGCTGAATAGGACTCGGCTGCAGACTGCTTTGACCTCTAAAAAAAGACAAGGACTAATCTTCCTATCAGACATTGAGAGGCTTCGTCATTAATGACGCACATAATTAACCAGCAAATGTGACTACAAATGTCATCGAGTTCAGATGATTTTGAAAAAAAAAAAAAAATTGATTTGTAGCCTTCAAGGGTTCAAATATTTTTTGTGTTTTTATAAATAAAAAAATTAAGATGTAAGGAAAAACTTTTGCTGCTAGTATTTTACCATTTGGCATGAAATGGAAGAAAATACTGATTAATTAAAGATAATAAACAGAAAACAGTGTTCACAGCAGGAGAGTACAGAGTATAAAGAAGTAAAGTATAACATAGAGTTATAGTAATAGAGGTATCGGCCTGACATTTCTTCCTTATAGGTTTGCAGATATAACGTAACAAAACTGAAACAATAACTGAACTATTGCAGATAATAAAAATGTGAAAAAACATCTTTGTTATTAATAACAGTTCATGTCCAATAGTCAGTATAAAAAAAGAACAATTATTTGCAGATTTAGAAATAATATGAAATGTTTAAATGCCATGTTTGTTTTCTAACTGTGAAAGATTGATTTTTTTTCTCTCCAAATTCAGTCCAACCTCATCCTTGTGCAGTGATTCTGGACAAACCTGGGGATGACCTTTGACCTCACCGCCATTAACTAGAGTGTTATTAACAACACAGTGTTTGACCAGGTACATTTTCAAGTTCAAACTCAAAGTACACTTACTATTAGAAACAAATGTCATTTAAAAAAAATGGAAATAAAATAGAGCATTAAATAAAAAAAAACAAATAACAGCTAATGGTTATCAGTATAAACGTAATGCATTTATTATAATGAGAACTATTATTATTATTATAGAAGTTATAATAATTATTAAGGTAACGGTAATTACATTGATCCAGATAACCTGGTAAATAATGATTTAAACTTTCAAAATAAAATAAATCAATGAAACACAAATACTCACAAATGTGAACATTTTCCAAATAATTAACTAAAGCATTTTGAAAACAAAATACAAATACCTTATATTTTACATACAAAACTGTGTGCTTTTTTTTTTTAGTACTTTAAATTGTAAGTACTGTTGCTGAACTTCTACCCAGGTTTGAATAAATCTGAAACACTAATAACATTTCGTCAAATTACCCATATGTGTTTAACATTCATTTATTTTTTATTTCTGTAAGAGAGGGGTCTCAAACTTACTTCCAATGAGAAATAACGTATTCTCACAGATTGCACTGCTGTACTAAGCAGTATTTATTTTAAACAAAACATACTAATAAAAAAAAATGAAATTAAACTGAACATCAAACACTGTATTACAGCAGTGGCCCCGTTTGAGACCCCTGACCTGGCCAAGTGTTTTAAAACTACTAAAGACTTTTTTCACTTTTTTTCCAAAGTCTGCAAAAAAAAAAAATTAAAGGAATAAAAGAATAAAACACAGCAACGGGTGTTTATTGTCAACGTGTAGGACAATGTTATATGTGCATAAGTCATTATTGTGTACTCAAACTGTGCAACTAACTAAGCTACAGTATATACAGACATCTATCATTAACTGTTGATAGCTGGATGACAGTTATACTGTATAACAGTAAATCTAACTGACCGACTGCTTGGGCAGGACAGCCTCTACAGACAATCCCACAAAGGCCCAAGACTTTGGTATCATCTGCACTCCGATGCAAAACTGATGACTTTTTACTCTTACACTGTAATATCAATCAATACAACTAAACACAGCCATTTAAAAACATCCACATGAATATACTCAAAGCAACAAATGTTATGCAGAAGAAAAAAAAAAAAAAGAAGAGAAGGAAAAGCCGTTATAATTTTTTTTAACCCTTCTCTCCTTTCTCTCTGTTATATCTCTGTAAAAATCCATTCAAGGTTAAACAAACATTTAAATGTTACACTTCCCATTAAAGTAAAGAGAGAATTATGTTAAGAGAACCCTCCGTCTAGATAGAAATGACGCTTTATGAAAAATATATGCATATTGTTGAGTGAACATGTTTGACAGGTGGAGAGAAAACATGGTTTGGACATTTTTTTTTAGCATAATAATAATAATAATAATATAACAATAATTGAACAGCCCCCACAGTCTTATGAACATGCTATAATCTTTTGTTACTCACTGATCAGTGTCTGTGTGATGTCAGGCTGATCAGCAGCCTGTCACAGGGTTTTGGTTGTGTTCATGGTTTCAGTGTGTGTGTGTGTGTGTGTGTGTCAGTATATCAGTGTGTGTTTATGTGTGGGCGTTCATGTCAGACTTCTAGGCTCAACAGTCTCCAGAGTTATGTGAATGTGGCCCGGTCTCCATTTTCCAGTCTCTCTGCTCAGCGGCCTCTACCTGACTGTGGTGGGAGGCGGCGGGAGACAGGGACATCTGTCTGCGGGGGTTCCCGCTGTGCATGGTGTTCCAGTGGCGCTTCAGATCCGACGCTTTGATGAAGGCTTTGTCGCAGGAGCCGCAGTTGAACGGCCGCTCGCCTCGGTGCTGCCGTTCGTGGTCTTTCAAGTGGGACTTGTGCTTGAAGGCTTTTTCGCAGATTTGGCACGCAAAGGGCCGCTCGTTGCTGTGGACCCGCTCGTGCCTCTTTAAGTCCGGACCCCTGATGAAGGCCTTCCCGCACACAACGCAGCGGTGAGGCTTGAAACCAGAGTGGATCTTCAGGTGCTCCTTCAGGTGGGCAGAGGTGGTGAAGGCCTTGGGGCAGTGCTCACAGGCATAGGGTCGGTTGGCAGTGAGGAGACGCTCCTTTTTAGCGTTGTGGTCCAGGGGCTTTGGACCTGTGCCCTGGCAAGAACCGTGGTCGCGGTGACCGTACAGCAGGTACTCCAACTTCATGTCGCCGGAGGAAGAGGAACCCCAACCGTGGGTGTGTGGGTCCTTATTCATGTTGGTGTTATAGGTGTGCGGCGGCGCCACATGTGAGGCGCCAGGTCCCATGCTGTCCATTCCCTGGTCGTAGAAGCTGTTCTTCCTCACCTCCTCCATGGCCAGTTCCTTCAAAATGGCATCCTGAGCTCTCATACTGTGGTCACCTGGAGCCTGGTTCTCCCTGGTCTTCATGTTGGTCAACTCACGTTTCTGGGTGCACAGGTTATCCAGGAAGTTGATCCCCAGGATCTGGCCCGACGACATCATCATATTGATGTCCTTCTTTCTCACAGACAGTCGGGCCGTGTACATGTAGTTCAGCACCTCCTCGAATATGTCGGAGCGGATGAAGTCCAACTCCACGATGGAGTTGTCTTCGTCGTTCTGTTTCTTAAAAAGCTTTTTGAAGTAGTTGCTGCAGGCTGCCAACACACAGCGATGGGCTCTGAATTCTATGTTCTCCACCACCACCACCACATCACAGTGCTCACCTTCCATCCTCTGCTGGTTGAGCATCTTCAGGAAAGTTGCTTTGTGGTCGTAGTCGATATATCTCAGTAAGTCAGACATGGTGCAGGTCAGAAGGCAGGAACCTGAAAAGAAAAGCAACTGGTCAAACTCTGGTCCATCTGATCGAGGATGCTGCGCATGTTTGAGCAGAAAAGCAACTGGTCAAACTCTGGTTCATCTGATCGAGGATGCTGCGCATGTTTACAAACAGTTACACAAGAGAAAATGCAGCTGGACGGGTGTGCAGAAAAGTAACAAATAATTAAATTAGACAGAAACGCCACATTACAGTTGACTGCAGATGTGCAGATTTCACATTTCCAAATTAGACTAATGACGGAGTAATAACAAAACTGAGTACAAAAGTAAACTCATATCGACCGACCTTAGAAAAACACCACAGGCCTGAGAGCGGCGAACCCCGCAGCAATGTCGACTAAAATACACAAACAGCGGCAGGAGACAACACACGCACTTTTCCCAACTCAAGCTAAATATTCCCGACGCCGCGTTTGCGTGACACAGGGATTGCGTGCAGAGAGGATAAACCTTAGCAGGAAAATTTCACATTTCAATGCGCCCAGCCATTTTGGTCAGCCAGCCTCCATTGGCATGTTTCTGTGCCTTCACGGTACTTTTCCAACACGGCGGCCGCGAAACAGGGGCGGGCGCGGGAGGCTGACCGACTGCGGCGGAACGCTGCGTTTTCTATGCCGCTAGCAATGACAAAGAGAGAAAACTAAACAAAATATAATTACCCGAAGCCTGAACGCAATCCCTGTGTTGTCACGCAAGACAGTCGACGACGATCCCAGAGCTGTCGTTTTTCCTCTTCCTCCTCTTGTTGTGACTGTTAAGCTGCACAGGAAACGCCGCACTCCTTTGCTGCCTCCTACAGCACCGGAGCGGGTACTGCATGTAAATCGTCTACAAACAAGACAATGTCCCACTCCGCATCAAGGGAACAACTAAAATGAATAATAATAATTAAAAAAAAGATACAGTGTAAAATTTTTTTTTACAAGTGTAAAAATGACTTGACTGAACATTAAGATACAGTAAGTGTAAAAATGACTTGACTGAACATTAAAAGAAAAATATTTAAGATAAAATTATAAACGAATTATATTTAAGTATTATAATTGTCTAATAAATCTGTAGACAAATATGCGGAAAATGACAAATCTCTGAACTTTCTTAATGTAAGCGAAAATCTGTAGACAAATATGCGGAAAAGGACAAATCTCTGAACTTTCTTAATGTAATGCTGTTAAATTAAAAAATCTAAATAATTGCATTATGGATAATAATCTATCAACCAAAATGTGAAGTATTATGGTCATCTTTTGTTTCTAAGCTAAAGGAGCTCAACATCACCAGATATTTCATGTTCAAAGTATTTATTTGTTTAATAGTGTTTGGTGTTGAACAGTAATTCGGGTTTTGAAAACCTTTCAATCCTTTTAAATCATTAATTGTAATTAAAAAAAGAGTTCTGGTTAAGAGTTATTTACTGTTACACGATAACACGGCCAGAGTGAGAGCTCCTGTCTCCCCCCCCCCCCCCTCCTCCCCACTTTTCTCCGTGTGAAATAAACGCATCCACAGATGGGCGGGTCCTGACAGTGTGCGTGTATTCTGTGTGATTAAGTACAGCAGTTAAATCCTGTCTAAATTAGCCCCAGGCTTATTCTTTCGACACATCAATTAAGTGTTTAGAGCATTGGGTTAATGAATAATACATCAGCCCCGCTGTGGGTTCGCTCTCTGCTGTCCAGTCTGAGGTCTACATGCATGTTCTCCTCTTCTCTGCAGCCTCAGGAATCAAACCTTCCTACCTGGTCCTGCTGACATTAACAGTAGAAATAGTCAAAATAAGAAGGTGAACTAGAAATGGTTTTAGGAACTCAAGGATCCTACAGTCAAGGACATTTATACACTTAGAATTTAGATCTTTTTTTAACATCTCCAAACACGTACAGTCTATGCTTTTTATTATTTAATATCTAAAGTATATATACATAAACACACACACATATATATATATACATATACTGTATATATTATTTGCCAGGAGAAAGCATCTTAATTTTTAAAAATATTCTTAGAAAAATGATTGCAGTGTGTCCAAAATTGGGGCGTGGGTCGTTTCATGTGCTTAATTTTATGGAACGCATCGCTGACAATCAAATATCGTTGTCAAACGTGACACAGGACGGCCTGAACTCAGACAAAGACCAGTTAAATGTGATGTGTTTGCCACTTTTATTTGACCATTTAAGGAAAACATGGCTGTACACGAAGAATATTTGGTTATTCAGATACAGGGAAGTATGATGGAGGCATACAGACGACATGATGCAGATGAAGTTAGTAGGAGGGTGTGGTTGGGGGGGGGGGGGACAGATCTCTTTTGGCTTTTGCATTTTAGTTTAGGGAGAGCTGGGCAGACTGAGCCTCTTCGCCTCAGTCGCACAAAAGCTGTCACAAGGCTGCAGCCCATCCTCGTCCAAAGTAAACATTCACAACCTGCACAGGCACATCAAACCAACTCCTCGCACAGAAATCACTACAGTCCTTGGCCACTGTGCCAGAGACGACCCTCAGAGGTGGAATCAGTTCACGAGAAGTGAGAAAACACTGAAATGATCTTAAAAAGGAGGGGAAAAAAAAAAAAAACCAAAACAGAAAAAAACATTTCAAGTAGACATGAGAAAAATCAACGGTGACAGATAAATTGCAGTTTTCTTAGTGAAGCTCTGATATGTACAGTATTGGGATGCAGTGACGTACCTCACAGGAATCCTTGAAAGTGATGCTTGCTGAAATATGAGGTTGGCACTTCTACAGCATGGTTAAATAGTATTTGTACTCTAACATATACAGCCTATGGCGATTTAAAGTTTCAGGAGTGATGGCTTTATTTCATAAATAAAACGTCTGCTACAATAATTATTTTTCAGTGATCATAAAAACACATCAACGACATAAGGCAGTGGAAACAAAAAGTTTTGCTTGCTGCACACAGGGATTCGGCACGGAGGAGGATCATGGACCTATTGTTTTTTTTTTGTTTTAACAGTTGATATGACATGATCTGTATTGGACTATGCAACTTTGGGTCCTTGTCATGCAAAAAAATGCACTGTTTTATTTTGCAGGTGATGGCTGTGGCCGGCGGTGAGCTGCAGAAGTGGGAGGAGTCTTTGGAGAGTCTCGGTGTTACCGTGTGGAGACGTGGATGTTGGTCTGTGGGAAGTTAATCAGGAAAAAAGGGCCTCAGTTTCACTCCTGAGGAGGAAGAGCAGACGGTTGGTTAGAGGAGCTCATCTGTTCACACAGTGCCAGAAAACATGACTGTAGTTTTATTGTCCTCCATAAACAGATGCAGCAAAACAAATTAAACAAAACAAAAAGAAAAACACACAAGATACTGTGGATACACACAGGTTTTTTTTTTCATAACTGCAACTAATAAATTACAGTTCCTGTTACTGCATACAAAAAATATTATTAAGTTTTTGCTTAACAAAACACCTTGTTGGAATGGATTCCAATTTCCATTGGAAAAACAGCCAATAGTGAACAAACCTGTGTGTACAGTCTCTCCAGTGTTACAGTGTTAGAGCCACAGACGAAACAGTTTCTATCACGTTAGTAAAACAATCGGAAACACTGTTGTGTAACAGGCTTCACACACACACACACACACACAGGTACAGTACAGAGTCACACACCAACACCAGGCCGAGCGGAACAGAGACGAGCTGAAAACAAAGACCAACATCCCCCCCCCTCCACTGGGTCTCACACGTAACCACAAGTACACACATGCATGCTGGCTCGTCCAACCGCCTGCACCTCCGGGGTCGTGTTAGAGCAGATCAACTGGGAAGAACATGACTCGGCCAAATGAGGAGTGTAAGTGAACTGGACAAACTGTAGCGTCCAGACCAAGTTTTATCAGAGGAACTGATACATATTTTATTGAGCGGTTCCAGTGATGTAAGCTGCTCAGTCTGGCAGCTCCAACATGATGTTGGCATTAGTGTCAGCAGACAAGTTCAAACAGAACACAGCTGCACTTGTGTGATGTGTTTTTGTTTCAGATGCAGTCATAAAGAAGAATGCTGATTTTTTTTTCTCTTTTGTTTTCTGCACAGAAAAAGCAAGAATGCAGCCGAGAGGAGCAGCAAGTCAGATTATGTGATGAACTTCTAACATTTCAGACATCAGACTGACAGAAATATTCTTTGCTGATTCTGTCTGGGAAACTTCCTGGCCTAAATATTCTTTGCTGATTCTGTCTGGGACTCTGGTGTATTTAGTTTCCAGCTTTTTATTTTTACATTTTTCTAATGTAATCCAATGTTTCTCTGTCTTTTACGTGTTAAAAACATAAAAGCCGCAGAGACCGCCTGCAAATGTATATTTTTAAGGGCATTTTACTTTGGATTATTTGTGTTTTACAGTTATTTTTAAGGGCATTTCACTTTGGATTATTTGTGTTTTACAGTTACAGTTTACACGTAATTTTATTGTAAAAAAAACGTCATGGCTCTTTAAAACACTAATTCAAGCTTCTTTCCACCAGAGGGTGCTGTTGCAAGCAACCTCCAAACATTGCATGACAGTGAACACAGTATTAGTGTTAAGGTTTTTAAGCCTTGTCATGACCAGAGGAGACTATTATCTGCTGTGCATGCACGCATGCCCCAGTTGACCTCTGCCCCTGCAGCAGGAGCAGCGTGAAGGTGAAAACAGCCAATGCACTGGCTCTAAGCACAAGCAGGGTTTTATCTGCACTGGTGCCAAGTGGGACACCAGCAGGTCAGAGAATGGACTGCAGCACACACTAGAAGAAGCCCAGCTACATGACAACAGACATCATCCCGGAACTGGGACTCAGGCCTCTTGGTCTTACCTGGGTCAGTCCTCCCCTTCCTCTGGTGTGATCTCTGTCTCTTTATGTACCACTACTTTGGTCACTGACATGTCAGGATGCTGTTCTTTAGCCTCCTTAATGGCCTGAGCCAGGGCCTGAATAATGGGGTGTAGTGCCAGAAAGCAACGCCAGGGGGAGACAGAGAACAGGAGATGGCAGGGAGGGAGTAGGGCCATAGATTATAAACCAGATTGTCAAAAAAGTCACCTATTTCACACGTCACATGCTCTGTTTAGTATAAAGGACATTCAAATGTATTTATTTATCAGCCCAAAACCAAATGAAACCAATGTGAGTGTTGGACAAACTCAACAATAGAATAGACAACACACCTCATCATGGTCAATTTCTGTATCTCCGGTGATGACGATCCTCTTCTCGATTCTTGTCTCTGATATTCCTCCTTTCACAGTCTGATTGACCGAACAAGGACACAGTTACTACAGTAAATATCACACTGTCATCAGTATGTAAAAATCTCTCCAGTTCTCACTTCATAAAATGAATTCTTCCACACGGCACATGCAGATTTGACCAAGTAAAGTGAGTAGTTAGTTTGAAGAAATGTTTCCTAGTAGTTTCTTTCAATTAGACATTTCCAATGAAATATATATACAAACAAATCATACAATTAATTAGAATAAAAAAGCAACAATAATAGCATTTGTAACACAGTCAGACCTTTGTGATGTGTGTGGTAGTTGTGGTGCTGGTGGTTTCCGAGGTGATGGTCTGAGCACTCAGCAGCACCCCGGGGTCTACGTCACCGTTAGTGTCGACCTGGTGATAAAGGAGACGCACGATGAGACGCTGTTGCAACTTAAACCCATCAACACGGAGAATGACAAACGGTTTGTTCACAGTCACCTCAGCAGACTCGTAGGTGATAGTTTTGGTCTCGGTGTGAACTACAGGCATCTCTTTGGAAGCCGCGTCACTGACGTCAAGATCCTACAGAGCAAATAGACACAAAAAAGCAGTTGCTATTAAATACAATCAGAAGGTTAAAACAGCACAAGGTCAGTGTGACGGTGAGGTCAAAGGGCTGAGGACGAGTCCTGTGATTCGTCCTCGGTTGAGACACGACTGGAGGTGAACGGGTCTGTCTGAGGAAGTCAAGTTTGATTCATGTTGGCCCCTCTCTTCTGCTAGTATTTCAGTTTCATCTGTCTCCTTTATTCCCTCCATTTCATCCATCCTCATGCTTTTTTTTTTCTCAAGAGGGTCTGGAAAGGTCTTTAGCGTGTTCTCTTCTGCTGCAGAACATTCCTTCATCTCCTTGATCCTATCATATATCCCTAAGCAGAATTCCTTCTCTTCAACGTATTGACTCTTGGGAAAAAACTGCACAGACAAAGTCAAACTGCTTTCTTTAAATCTCTTCATTCATCTTCTAATTCCTCCAAACACATCTCATCTCTTCCCTCTTCCCTTTTGTTCTTTGACTCCAGGTTTGTTTTTCAGGACGTCTGATAAAAGCAGGAAATGCTGCAACTCTTCAATGTTCTGACAACATTCAATCCCTTGTACCATTTTAATCCCCTTCATATATAATTCTTTACCCTGCTCCCAGCTGCTGGCACAGCACAATCTTCAAAGAGACTCTCATCCAGCCCTAAATTTGTTGCTGCTGGCTGCATCTCTACTTTCACAGACGCAAGGTGTTCAACTGTCTCTGCAGAGATGGAGGTGCCAAAAATAACAGACATTCTTTTTTTTCTTTAAACAAGCATCAGAATCAACCGGTGGTTTTTGGAGCCTGTTTTGAATGTTTACCTTTTCCGGCGTTGCCTCTGTCACCGAGGTTTCCGCTGCCTTCTGCTCTGAATCTGCTGATGTCTGCAAGAGACACACATATATATATTACATATATATATGCATATACTGGTACACCTGGGATATAGGCTTTGATCATATCACAAAAAGCACATACTGGTACTTTCACATGAGACCTGATGGAGAAAAAATGTCAGTGTCAGTCATGATATTTCACTGTAAACAATTAAAGAGAGGAGTGGTCACCTTTCCGGGGGAGGAAACCCATCCCAGCGTAGACTGATGGGACAAAAGGATGGATCGACACAAGAAAGGAGAGAAAAAGAGGACAGTCAAAAGGGAAAGTGGAGATGAAGTTGTCAAAACATGGAGGAGAGGGGGAAGGAAAAGGAAGGTTCTGAAATATGTATGGACTACCGTCATAAAGAAGGGGTCGAGTGAGGAATTTGTGGAAAGGATTTTGTTATTTCGAGCAGTCGCTATCAGCCAATATGATATGAAGAAATGTTCACTGAACTGTGACATGTATTTTCAGGTGAACCCATACATTTCTCCCTGTGGAGTTAGAGAGACGGGGGGTGGGGTTTGAGGAGGATGAGGCAGGGTGAGCTGCAGTAGTGGCACCAAGCCAGAGCTATGAAGTCACTGCTTTGAGGAAACTGAAAAGAAAGTAAGGAATGACGCAGCAGAGCCAAAGGTTCCAGAAAACCTTCTCTGTCAGCTTTAGGAGGCAAGAGCTTAGGCAAAAAAAAAAGAGAAAAAAAGAAATCTGTTTTAGTCGTTGACAAACTGGTTTAAACAAAATCCATATAAAGGATGTCAAAAAGAAGCAGCAGAACGGAAAGCAACAGACAGTTTGGCGAGTGTGAGCCTGAACATCGGGTGTTAGAATCCATTAGCCATGCGCTGCGCTGGATTACACTGTTGTTTTGCTAAATTGGCTGTTGCTGGAGGGAAGGCAATGGGCTAAAAGCTTCAAATGGAGACATGGAGGGAGGCAGCCAATACCATGTTGTTGCTTTGGATTTTCATACAGTACCACTTCTAATGACGAAGATGATGAGTCAAAGACCGCGTTCTGAGTTAAGTGGGTCTTCAGCTGTTTGAACTGAGCGAGTCCTTCTAAGTTGAAGAGGTTTTCCTTTTGCTGTGGGCCGTCACTGGTCTTTGTCTCTTTGATTTCACATGTAGTCGTACAAATGAACTCCGACGCTCCGGCCTTCGTCTCTTCAGAAATCCAAGATGCCATGGCCTTTTTGGGCGAATCGGTACTCTTAATCTGAGTCAAGTCATCGGCTTTCATGTCCGTCTTTGGACCGACGGTCTTGATCAGCGTCATGTGGGATTCAAAAGCAAAAACATCTTCTTTACCAGTGTCTTTGTCTTTAGACGACAACACGAGATCAAACTTCTCTGCATCCACAGCCCTGGGGAGGGCGAACACCTCTTTTTCACCCGTAAGACTTATCTCTTTATCGCCAGTGTCGACTTTTTCTTCTTTCAGTATGATCAGCGTTCCCTTCTTGTCAATGATGGCCTGTGTGACTTCCTGCCTGACGGCTCCGGGGCTGACTCGAACCATCAACCCCTCAGAGTCGGGAGTCTTCCCCTCAACCTCCCTGAGGGTCCCGTCTGTAAAGACGTCATCGTCCACGGTGGTTGACGGACTAATTCCTCGAGGCCCAGAGGACGTCGCCCCTTCTGTTACGACACTATCCACCACATATTTCACCAGATATCCTGTTGCCTGGAGGAGACACTCGGCACATTGATAAAGGGTTGTTCAAGTCGACAGACAGGGAAACAAACAGCCCACAGTAATGAGCTCGACCAACATTCATAGACAAGAGAAAGGAGGCACACAACACTGGGAAAGATGGAGAGATGGAGAGAGAGAGAGAGAGGGAGAGAGAGAGACAGGAAATAGCTACAGCTAAAGTCCTGCATTTATGTAAAGGACTGTGAAGGCAAAAAAAACATGTTTTTAAATCATACGTCCAATGTATTTTTTACTTGGTCCTATATATCAGAGTTCTTCACAACGTACTGTGTAAAAATGAAAGGTTGTTTTTAATGCTAAGGAACAGGAGTTTATTTTTACCTCGGTGGCTTTGGGCTCCACAGGCTTTTCTGTCTCATCCTCTGCTGGCTGCTCATCTTTATTCTGTGGAAGAGGAAAAAATGGAAAGGTAATTTCCACGGACTCTGACATTATGGACTGAAAAAAAAACCCCCAAAACCCAAAATGGACACATTTCAAACCGCTTTCTTTTTAAGTCAAACATTATTCAAGCAAAAATATTTTCAGAGGCTTCAAGTATTAAGTTCAATAATATAATCTGAGTTTCAGAGGCCGTTACACAATTCAAGACAATGACTGTGGAACATTAGTTAATACTGAAACAAAAGTAAAGTTATGTGTCACATTGATTCACACACACACACACGTGCAGTCATGTGGTCTGCTGCAGACTGCATCTTACATCCTGCAGATCCAGAGGTTCTATCATTGGTGCTTCATCCGCTCTGGGTGAGTGTGCAGGGGACGAGGAGAGCCTTTTCTCCCATTCCGTCAGGCCTGCTGCGCCGCTGTCCGTCTCCAGGAAGGAGCGCTTCAATTCACTGATGTTGGTCTGATGCTTGACAACCTCCACTGGAGGCTCGGTATCCTGCAGTGGCCGGTCAACCATGACACACAGTAATGAGGGCAGGGGCTAATGTGTCGGGGCCGACTGGCATGCTTTTTAAAGCGGAACGGCATATCAAATGCAAATAAAAGAACCAGTCACATCATCATCCAACGTGATGTGACTGGGACACAACCGACTCAGCAGCAATCCACACATTATAATGTATGTGCAGGTAGACGTAGCAAAATAACAATAACTGAGCAAGCAGCAGGTCCTACATTAATGCTTAGTCGGCATTAAGTACCTGCTAAACTTACTAATACTAAAACTTCACAAAAATCATGCACACATTGTTTACACACATTTACTGTCACAGGTTTAGTGAAGCAAAACACTCCCAAAATCTCATTAGAGGTAAAGATTACTGCAGTACTAGTGGCAATTTAAAAAAAAAAAAAAAAGTTGAATGCTCAGAGCAGGTTCTCTGTTAGAAGTGTAAACATGGCCGACATGTCCGTGATTATAGATTAGACCTTTAGGCTCTGATTCAGAACTTTCATCAGTTAGGTTTCCTTCAAACATAACGTAACTGCTACATGCATGTTTCATGCGCCGTGTTGGTACCAACCTCGAGCATCAGATTACTATGTCTGATAAAAACGGTGTCTCCTTTTACTCGCTGTATGAAACTAAACTGTGAAGGAGACGGGGAGAGGATTTTTTAGTCAGGGAGGAATTCATCTTGGTAAGAGAGCTGGGAGGTTTGACTTCAACAAGAAAGGAAAAAAAAAAACCTCAACAAAAAACTTAAAGGTGCAGCACCAGATCACAAAAATAAAATATAAACACAACACAATTTACACACAAAAACACTTGAGAAATGAGGCAAATTGATTTATAGTACTGTATTTCATGGAAGTAAAGCCCCGACTATTATCGCTATGTTATTGCAAAAATACCAAAATGTGGCAGGAGCTCCTTCATTGTTGTCCATATACAGATGCACATATATATGTACAGTACATATACACATATATATGCACATAAATATAGTTGGATTTTTAGAGCAACCATAAAATAAATATGTTAATTTTTATATATACAAATATATATACATACGTGAATACAGACTGCAACATGTATGATGTATTTCCAATATACTAAATCCATTGACCTTAAGAGGCTGTGGCTTATACACAGGGCGGCTCTTTTCCATGAAATAACTGAATATATACGGCAACATCATCCATCTGTGACATATATTCAGGCATGAAAGAATGGGTGGAGCTGATGTGGGGTGAAACAGTGAAAGATCAATGGAAACAGCAGCAGCAGGAAAGTCAAAGCCATGGGCTGAGATGTAATGGCTGATGGCTACAGTCTGAAAGGCCCAGTGCATCTGCCGGTGGTGGTGGTGGTGGTGGTGGGGGAGTGTGTGTGTGGGGGGGGGCTGATGCACTGAGCGAGGGGCCACGAAGTGAGCCCTTTGTACCTGAGTCCGCATCTCAGAGTCCTCCTCTGTTTCTGACTGACAGCAAGTAAAGAGGCAGAGGACACAGAGTGTGAGACACAGAGAGACACAGAGAGAAGACGTACAGTGGTGATAACCTGAGGAATTAAAGACTAAGATTAAATGACATTCAAGGACAGGGAGAGAAGAGGAAATGACTGTTTGCAAAACCGTCCCCTGGTATGATGTTCATTAATTATCATCAGGCTTTTTCAAGATAAAGGTCAAGTTTTATTTACCAATGATGCAACCACACAGCTTTAATTTGATTTAGAATCTGAGGCTGTGACTTAAAAAAAAGGGCTGAGTCAATGTAGTCGTCATTATTATTATTAGCCTAGATCTTCAACTAGAAATGCTATTGCAATAGGTTTGTTCATTTTCTTTTTTTTTTCATTAATATTTTTTTTACATTCATATTTAAACCTAAAATGCTTATATTTATATTAATATTATAAAGTAGTTTGAACCAGTGTAGTGTATGAATAGATTAGCTCTGAAGGTAAAATAACACAGTACATTTACACATATCATTAATTTAAAACCAAATATATAATTTTATATATATGTATACACCTATATAAATAGTAGGGTGTCCATGTTCATTGCCTCTTTCCTTAAAATTAAAAAGTAGCTGGCTAGACAAAAATATATAAATATTTTACTAGATATTAAGCACAAGTAAATGCATGGTGAGGGATTTGCAAAAAGTTTCAAAGTTTAAGACTGGTAAAAAACATCATTAAGGGAATGTGATGTTTGAGTTCAATAAATTGATTACCATGCACAGTAAGAGACATCACAGCATGCAATTCTTAGACACCATGCAGTGGGTCCTCTCCAAATGTTTCAAACTGCCCCCAATAATCCAGCATCATTTCTATTCTGTCTTCATTTCATGCCTGAATTATGACATTTTCACCGGCGTACAGACCTCGGTGGCGGTCATCTCTTCATCAAAGGCAAAGTCAGTTTGTTCGCTGTCAGTCTGTTTTTACAAACAGACCCAAACAGTTTCCAAGTGGCAAGCACAAAAACAAAGAAACGACAGGAATCCAACTTGTAAATGACTGAAAATCCACAGTTCATCCTCATACACATGTGGAAAAAAAAAAAAGTCAATGCACTTTTGTCTTCCATTCAGTTCACGGTACGATAATAGACGACAAAGGATAAAGACAGCAGGAGGATAACAACAACAAAAAAATAAAATAAAATAAATAAAAATACAAAGCAAGCAAGCAAACAGACTCAGAGGAAGTTGAAACCTGTGGTCAGTCACTCGGGCATCAGAAGAAACGTTTTTCTTTTTCTTGGTTGTCTTTGGACATGGTCAATTAGTTCTGTGCAGTCGGTAAACACTTGTTGATTACCAGGCAGTAACCTGACTTTCAGGTCCTCCCTCCTACCCCCCCTCCGACCCACCTACTCGATGAATGTTGACACTTGATGATCTGGATGTTTGTGAGTGTCACAGACTCTCTCTCCATCACATCACACACCGTTTTAAAATGTTGTTAGTGAAGAATATATCACATCTTGGCACAACGCAGCAAGCTATTTCTCTGAAATGCTGAAAGCCCTTTACAGGAAAGCTTCCATTTACAATCGCCACTTTAATTTGTGCTACTTTTTCTGCACGAGTGAGACAGCCAGGCTCAAGACAATGCAGAAAGACGTGGAGCTCAGACCGATGTGGGGGTGTTGCCATGCAGCTGCGGCCTGTTTCAATACAGGTGCGTCTGTTACGATAAAGCTTTGAATGCGATGGGCTAGACACAAACGTTTTGAGTACGATTCCAGGCAGCTAATGCCATAAACGACAAGAGTCAAACTCAGGCCCGGGGACCAAATCTGGCCCGCATCGAAATTATATTTCAAATGTATTTTTGGTTGTTTCAGAGTCAGTGTTTTACGAAAAACTAAAGTTTGTTTCCATATGAAAAAAAGTCTACATTTTAGAGAGAATACTACGTCCCAGTTTTTAAGAATTTGACACCCCTTCAAAAAACCCTCATTTGGACCTTACATAAGAAACCTTATTTGTCAGAAACCCCACAAGTTGGTTTGTTTCTTGTGCATTTACAGTGTTTTAATTTTTGAAGTTGGTTTGGTTTTGGAATTAGCACAATGCTGATGTTAAGCTATACTCGTTACATAATTATGACCGTCCTTTTTCTGACACTGACGAGGGAAACTGCTGGTCATCGTCGACGACATCATCACCAAAAATGAAGCCAACTTCAGCAGACACAGCTGACGAGTTCGGCACTTAAACTTTACGAGCACTTAAACCTCATTGGTCGTAATAACTTCAGATGTGGTTTATTGATAAACAGCAGGGTGAGACATTTTAGGTCGTGTATTATTCAGGGTTACAGGAACGGTTAAAGGGAGACTTCTGCTGAACGTCTGCCCAAAAAAAGTCGAAGCCTCACTGCCGGAAACCTGACTTTTATGTCGAATGTGCTGAATACGCACACTCCACGGAGTGACTACATTTGACGGTAGTTATGCGTGGATAACTGATCACGTGGCAGATAAACTAAAGGTAATGTCTTTGTGTCCAACCCTTTGATTGCACGGATGCAAACAGAAGCCATGCAAACATGAAGTGATGGGACTTGCTGGGTCTTTTGGTTGTACTTAAGATGCTGATGGGCATGTAGTCTACGGGATGACAGTGTGACTAGGCAGAGATGAGGTTCTGAAAGTAGGAGAACTGACAGACACTGGACACAGTGACACAGTCTTTAGGTTGGCTCTGAACTGGTGAAACAGCAGAGCAGCAGATTTAGGACAGGATAAAGTACTAAGGATTATAGAAAAATTGTAATTTTAAGCCAGAGGCAGGTACTGTAACATGAAGGCGCATATACACACACACACACACACACACACACACACACACACACACACACACACACACACACACACACACACACACACACACACACACACACACACACACACACACACACACACACACACACACACACACACACACACACACACACACACACACACACACACACACACACACACACACACACACACACACACACACACACACACACACACACACACACACACACACACACACACACACACACACACACACACACACACACACACACACACACACACACACACACACACACACACACACACACACACACACACACACACACACACACACACACACACACACACACACACACACACACACACACACACACACACACACACACACACACACACACACACACACACACACACACACACACACACACACACACACACACACACACACACACACACACACACACACACACACACACACACACACACACACACACACACACACACACACACACACACACACACACACACACACACACACACACACACACACACACACACACACACACACACACACACACACACACACACACACACACACACACACACACACACACACACACACACACACACACACACACACACACACACACACACACACACACACACACACACACACACACACACACACACACACACACACACACACACACACACACACACACACACACACACACACACACACACACACACACACACACACACACACACACACACACACACACACACACACACACACACACACACACACACACACACACACACCTCCTCTTCCTCTGAACTGTCATTGTAGCCCTGGGCTACGAAGGCGGTCAGCGAAGCTGCCTTGGGCTCCAGGTAGCAGAGGCACAGCGCCAGGGGGAAAGAGAGGGTGAGGGCGTAGGGGACAGAAAAGGACGTGGAGAGCAGGAAGAAGAAGATGAAGAGGAAGCACGGGATGAGCGATGGTGACTTAATGGGAAGAAGGTGTTGTGCACACTCAGGGAGAAAGCGCATCTCGGACAGATCGGGGAAGGTGATGTAGCCGTCCTCGTCCAGGATGGAGGACAGATCGGGGAGGTGCAGAGAGAAGGAGAAGAGTGTGCCGCCGCGACGCTTGCCCTGCTCCAGCCTCTGCTTGCGGGCTGACAGCAGCAGCGCCTGCTCCTCTAACAAGGCAGCTTTGCGATCGGCTCGGGCTTGTCGGCGGCGGCACCCGTTACTGCTCTTGGCTGGACTGACCGATGAGGCACGTTTACGCACATTCTCCCTGCGCCGCGACCGTACTTTAGTTAATGTAACAGGGGATGAAGGGAGTGAGAGCTCAGAGCGGAGGGGGTCAGTTGTGTATGCATGAGGCGAGTACTGACAGGAGGTGATGTGGATGAAACAATGTGTGTGTACATGTGGGGGGGGAGGGGGGTGCCAAGAGGAAGAGTGGTGAATGAGCACACACAGGTAGTGTGGGGTCAAAGGAAGGACAAGAAAAAAAAAAAACACAACTAATTAGTAAAGCGCACAAAAGATGAAAACACTTTGGTCTAGGCTACTGCAGAGGGTTAAGCTGAAAGCAACTGGAAAACTGACTCCAGCCATTAGGTTAACAAAGTTACTAGGAATGGAAAATAAAATAGAAATGGTGTGAGAAGGACTACAGCACAGGGTTACAGGAGCCTCTCAGAAACAGCATCAGTTTCTTTGAAAACCTAGTGTTTATCTTCATGACCTCTTTTAGACACAACAACAGCGAAACCTCTAGACCAAACGGGTCGCACAGCAGTTTACCTTTGTGTCGTGTCGCAGCCCCCGTACGGCAGCAGCATCAGGTGTTTCCTGATCCATCTTAGAATCTTCTTGCTCAGACTTCTCCTCCTCTCCTTTTTTCTCCTCCGTTGTCACCGTGGTGATAATGTCTCCCTTGGCAAAGACTTTGGCTGCTCCATCAGTGGCACTGTCCTTCATCAGAGTTTCGTGGTTCTCCATAATAGGAGCTAAGACAAAGGGACGACAAAGATGAATGATAAGGGTTAAAAAAAGAAAAAAGAAAAAGAAAAAAAAAGCTGTTTCCAAAACAAAATTGACTTCAACAAAAAAATTAGTAATTTTTTTTTAGTTAAATTAATCTAAATTTCCAAGTCCTGTTTGCATTCATTTTTTATAAAAAGACATTTTTCATTGTAAATTGAATTTTTAAAAGTCCTGTTTGAAAAAGACATTTTTCATTGTAAATTGAAAGTGTAATTGCTTTCACTACGTCTTTTTCGTCTCATGTAAAGTAGTGTAATTAGAAAATGACTTTGTGGCGACTCATTCAACACATGAACATGTTCTTACCTCCATCTAAGCTGCGGGACATGGTGTAGCGTTTACTGGCGGACCGCTCAAAGAACGGAGCGGGCCTGATGATTTGAGAGCTTGCCCTGCGGGTCTGAGCCTGTGTTCTGCCGCTGTAGCGAAACTTGGAGCCAAGGCTGAGTAACTTCTTTGGAGGGGCCTCGGGGGATACAAGCCTGTCAACAGTTACAAACTCCCTCATTAATCAAACTGGGAACCAAACATGGTTTAAAGTATCACGTGGTAAAAAAAAAAAAAATTAGCACTTGACTAATTTAAATACTCTGGAGATCAGCATTTAGAAAGAAAAAAAAAACAGGAAACATTTTTCTGCTTAAAACAGCACAAAGCGACTCACATTTGCATGCTGTCCAAGGGGCATGAGCTACAATCTAAAAAAAATGAATAATCTCAGGTGCCTATCAGTTAAACCATGAATCATTAATCACTGCTGAGTGGAATAAGATATTGTTTCCATGGAAGTTTTTTTTATTACAACTGGGGTTAATTTTTAAAGTTACTCTCTAACTTCTTCCTGTTGCTTACCTGAAAAACGTGTGGTGTTCAACGCAGACCTTCCAAAGCCTTTTGGCCGCCCGGTGATTTGGAAGTTTGAAACCGATGGTGCTTTCAAATTGCTCAAACTGTAAAATAAAATAAAGTTTGTTAGTTGTTTTTGTTTGACAGCTTCATGTTCTAAACTTTATTTTTTCCACTTCATAAACTGATGTTTTTTTATAGTTCATGTGGGAAGAAGTCAATGTATTATTCCCTAGGAATTATCTAAAATTCAGAGAAGCTGCTCAGCTGAAAACAAATGCTGCTCCAGCAATGAGCTCAACACTGGAAACAGAGAGGAAATAATTGTAAAGTACTTCAAAGCTCAGAGCTGAGCTGGCAGAAAACATGACGGTGTTTATTACTCTAATTGAATTAATGTTGCCTTCACCTCGCCTGGGCGGATTTTGATGTAGAAATTATTCCTCTTGTAGGAAATCTTGAGGATTTTGGGCCAAGCGAACCTGTTGATCCGTAATCTGTCTCTGTAGATAAGAAGGCCACTGGCACAGACTCCCAACATGATCTCCACTCCCTCAGAGTCCTGGAAAAATCACACATGCACCAAGAAAAAAAAACAAACAAACAAAAAACACACACACAACATAAAGAATTAAAAAGTGTGTTTTCTGATAGACTGGCAGAAAATTCACTCTTACGTATTTAGGATGATCTCAAAGATTAAAGGCCGAATACAATAAGACACGTTTCTGTTCAGGTCAACTAACTACTCCTTAAGCTCTAAAGTTGATGCAAAGAAGGCCATAAAAAGCTGGTGCAAAACAGGGTAAAGTGGACTTGAACAGAGTCAGCGTGTGATGATGACAGGGTAAAGCAGGCAGGTGGACGGTAGAGTCAGGCAGTCGCTAATCTTCTCTGTGCAGGCTGTGTTGTCAAATGGTAATTTAAGGGGCACAACTTGAGTGAAGAGTAGATAAAGAAGCCACAGTGAAGTTTTGGAAATAGTGGATGAAGCACAAAAAAAATAAAAAATCTCTTCACTGCACAAAGCATGAGATGAACAAGTGAAACCGTTGATAAAGGTTTCAGAGGAAGGTTCTGGTCCGAGAGCAATCGGCCTTAACAGTGGGAGGATGAAAATGACCAGTCTGTATGTAACCATGCACAAGATTAAAAAAACAAAACAAAAAACAAAAAAAAAACACGCAAACTTTGGGTTGGCACATGAGATGCAGCCTCTTACCTCACCCTCAGCTGGAGACAATTTATAGAGACTCCCTAGCATCTTTGCATTTAATGAGAGAGGAGACAAGACAAAAGAGGGATGCTGGTCTAATGTGTATATTTTTCCTTGTATCAATAGCAAAAGCTTTAATTTGTACTTGGTATAAACCTGGTGGCGTCCTCCTCCTCCTTGTCATCTCCCTACACTATATTTCAAATCCACAAAAGCCAATATCCCTCCCATCATTCATGTCCAAACACAGGTTGAATTTTAAATGCACTTTTGATGACAGATCTGGACTGAGATTGATTGGTGTTTCCTATCAGGTTCAAAACTGGCTAATACTTTGTTTTTTTTTTAGTTTGGCAAACAAAGGCCCGAGCTGGACTGTGTGCTGGTTCACCTCACATTATTAATTAAAAAGATGGGTATTCAAAAATGTGAATGTGGTAACAAAAACGTTTAACATCTGGGTTTATTTTACTCGACGACCACACAGCAAAACTCTCATTTTATTTGACCAAACTGCCAGATTATTTCAGTAATGAAAACAGAGCCGTGACACAACGGTGTATGTGCGACAGACAGTGATGAAGACAGTGACAACAGAATGACCAAGGGCTGAGGAGCTGCTGTCATTCCACCTGCAAACATGCAGCACTCACAGACAAGAGCCCGTCAGAGGCCACAGTCAGGACCTAAAACATGCATCATCAAGTAAGACTATAACTGCTGTTTTTCTTTTTTTTTTTTGTTTCTCACACAGAACAGTTTCCACAGACATTTACTGCCTACTCATTTAGAGGCTGTTTCAACAACTAAGTTATTCTGCCAAAATCTTAAAATGTCATTTAAAACCAGCCGTACTGATTTCACCTTCTTTGTTTTGTACAAATCAAAAGCTAAGCACAAATGCTCACTTTGCACAGCGCTTAAGGAACATGAGCTACTATACATTATACCTGAAGCACTAGAAGTGGGTTGATGTCATCGGTAACAAAACATGGGACACATCCATCAGACTGTACAACTCCCTTTAGTCTACATAAGTACTGTATATAAACGTGATGTCAAATGTTCAGAACAAGGCTGTTAAACAGATGTGTAAAGAATCCAGCTGTGCTCCAGCACAAACCTTTAGCACCGAGGAATGTTACTAATGATTTCAAGGATGTAAAACATAAAAGTAGCATAAAGTGTCTCCTAAAAGACCAACTGAGTGCAGACAAATATGACACATGATGTTAGAGGAATTTAAACATTTAAAAAATAAAATAAAACTCAGATATATCAACTTATGTTTCCATTTTTGACTCTCAAAGTTGATCGGAAGGATGGAATAATATTTATTATGGACAGAATATTCTTGAATGAATCCCCCTGGCACTGCCAGATAAACAAAGACCCAACCCCCACAGTGTCTAAAAAGCATGTTGGAAACACTGGATCGATTGTAATGACGCCCAGCGGCCCTGCTCCTGCTTCTGCTCCTGCTCTTGCAGTGCAGAAAGGTTTTTACAGCCCTTGTTGTAATGATGCATATCAACCCATCTGGATGGCAGGCGTGTAAAAAGATTCGTCAAGATTTGCTGCAGATACCTCCCCACCCCCCCAATTTTATCACCTAATCTGTAGAGGTGAGACGATGAACATCAATACGTGATGCAGCAGCCGCATTTGAGCCATGATGCTTCTGAAGCAGCGATGTAGTGGTTGAAACTGACAGTGTTGACGCGGCACGGTTAGAATGTATAATAAAAAACCATTTCAACGTAGCACATCAATCAATCTCTTCTAGTATGCTGCTTCACTCGAGACGAGATTAGAGTTATTACATCAGAATGAAAACCATCACTAGACTCTGACTGATGGAAATGAACAGCATGACAGCATGTGCGTTACTACGTTGTGAATCAATCTAGGGCTTATTAGCTCAGCTCCAGCAGCACGGCTGACAGAGAACGAGTCTGGTTGGATTTTATGGAGACGGTCTACTCACTCTGAAAGAAGATCTTAAAAAAAATAATGCAGAGCTAATGAAATAGAAAGAGAACCTAACACATCTGTTAATACTATACAAATATTTATGTTTTAAATGTGGTGATTACCTTAGCGTGGTGGAGGTCCACACCATACATGGACAGTTTTTTCGCATTTTCCAAGAAGTGCATCTCTGCTTCAGCCGGCGTCATTCCCCTGATATGACAGAACGGAGCAGACAAAGTGATTAATTAAACCAAGTTCATATTATTATTATTTAAAACAAAGCCTGAGAGATCTATGAGAGGGTTAATCCTGTTGATTAATTGCCTGAAAGCTTTTTTTTTTAAAGCTTTATTTAATTAATGCCTTTGAAAGAATCACCAGAGAGCACCAGGAGTGCGCTCATTTTTAGCAGAGATGGCCTTGAGAGAAAACCTAATTCTGGCACTTGCTCCACCCATTGGGCAAGACAGGATCGCATCACATTACACACAAACACAAAGGGAGAATGGGGGCTCAGACAAAAAGACAGGCCGTCGGTTCCATTTATAGCCAAACACAAATCCAATGTCTCCAGCCATAATGCTTCTGAAGCAGATAATTCATTCTGAATATTGACATTGGTCAGGGAGCCCTGACTGGCTCACAGGGACGGTGATGGCAAAAGGGCATGTAAACCAAATTGTTCTGTAAAACTAATTCTATTTCCTTATGTTTTGATTAAATCCAGGTGACAAAGTGAGAAAAAAGACTAACTTGTAGGTTTTGTGGAGTTCTACGACCTTCTCCTCCAACTCTTTGGTCTGGTTGGGCGCAAAGCGCAGCTCGCTGATGTAGTCGCTGCCCAGCTCTTCGGGGTCATAATCCCCCAGTTCAGACTGCACTGTGTAAGAGCCCAGAACTGTGTGGGTGGCAAAGGAGCAGGGCAGGCGACCGGATACTACGTCATCTCTCAGCTGAAGACACAGATAGTACCTGTGCCGGGACAAGAGGACGTGGCTCAAACTGGGGTTTTCAAAACATTTTAAAAATGCAGTTCTTCTTTGTGATACTGTGATTTACTTCTTTTTTTGTGTGTGTAAATAATGTGAATTCACCTTGTGATGTCCTCTGCAAGTTGGGATGGATCTGGAGGGTAAAACTTGACATTGAATGCAAAGTTCCAGGGTCCAGCTGAGGAGGTAAAATAGAAGATGTTTAAGTCACTGCATCTCAGTCAGTTACTGATGATTGTTGACAGTATAATTTAAGCTTGTGTCTGATTTTTGACTTACTCTTGACCTGCTTTTTTAGTTCCTTCGAAGGGTCCAGCCAGTTCTGCAGCAAAACAAAGTATTACATAATTATTAACTTTCTTTCTATTTTCTGAAAAGAAAGAAAATGATTCTTCAACATCTAAAGCACCAAACTCCAAGAATCTGAATTCCTCAATGTGAATGTGTTCAGCAATTTGTACAGAGACAATATATTTAAAAGAAATAGTGACGATTATTTCATAAAACATTTGTACACAATCCTTTCAAATAAAAATACCTTTTGGTTCTCCACATCTTTGTATGTTATTCCAAAGTAGTCTTTCTCCAGCAAATTGAGTGAATCACAGATTTTGTCAAACAGCAGTTGCCCTTTGGTTCTTTTCTGTAAAAGAAAAATAAAATAAAATTAATAAGACATTGACAACAAACTGATAGTATAATTTTTCAAAACCTTTCACATCATGAAATATTTAAAAACTTCCAAAACCTTTGATGAGTGTCTAGAACAAGCTTGTCTAAAATAATTTTTCGTATGCCAAAGCAAAAGAGGACAAAAATGTAAACTATTTTGTTGCCGCTTTGCCATAGAGGGACAATTTTCTGTAACAATATATATAAAAAAAAGAGAGATATACAAGCAGTACATCACAAATGTACCACAACTGTCACCTTACACCTTCACCTAAACTCTCAACACACAAACACAGATTTTAAAGGGAATCAATTTGAATTCCTTGTTAAAATAATCCCAACCTCCCGGAGAGAATTAGCGGATGAGTCATGGCGGTCGACTCTTGTCTGGATGCTGTGAGAAGCAGCTTTCCAGGGCAAACATTTGTACTAATGACAGCCTCCACACAAAGACACACATGTAACAGACACCTTTTAAGGCTATGTTGTCTCATATATACAAAAAAACAAATACAGTATTAAGACAGATTTAGGGGGTGTAAGAAAACATCAATAGACTGAAAAGGCGCAATATTTTGTTTAACAATACACTATCGATATTCTACTCCACTGTGTCGATTACCAATTAAATTGCAAATATTAAAACCGCAGGTTAATTAGATCTTTTATGTAATATTTCCATACAGACCTGAAGGCATCATTTAATATTAACCACCTGTCTGACAGAGTGAAACGACGACAGCCTCCATTAATCTGCTTACCTCCACATCCAGTGTGTAGTCAGAGCCGTCCAACAGAGTGACTTTACACTGCATGATCTTAGGCTTCTTCACTCCTCTTAATGGAGACTTTGACAGATGACTGATGGATGACCTGTGGGATGTCTGGTCCTCTTCCTGGTGCTCCTTAGACAAAGCACACAAATCAAATTAAAAATATAATAATAATATGACAACCATTGTCATCTTGAATGATCAACGGGTTACCTTTTCCATTACCCTATAACAGAATACACTGACACTTGGCCTTGATTTTATTTTTGACTAAAAACAGTGCCGGAAGCGTCTGCATTTTTTTTTCTCTCTCTCATAAAAACAGATCTTTTCAGTAGTAAAAGTGATTGTCATTTTTAAAAGACTAAATCTAAAAGTGAACATATTGCTTAAAATTTTAATTCTTGACAAATATAACATTGTACAGAATAAAAAAGCAAAAAAAAAAGGTGAACAAAAATAATTTAGTAAGGTAACTAGAAAAACTGCGAACCTGTTCTTTCTTGGCCGGAGTGCTGTGTCCGACAGCGGCCGGAAGCTGCTCTGGCAGTGGAGTGGAGTCTGCTGCAGCCTTAGTTTTCTTCTTCTCCGTCTCCTTGTTGTCCTGCGGCTGCTTAGCCTCTGAGTCCGCGCCTGATTCAGTTGTCATGGTGTATTACGCTGGAAAAGGGGAATAAAATAGAACAGGAGAAAATGATGAGTCATCTGAACGGTTAGGTTTTACCTCCTTACACAACTATAATCTGCACCGATTCAACAGCAGATGCAGCAAATGCCTAGTGTTTGATGTTTGAGGTAAAAACCAAATGAACTCGATTAGTTTAAATGTTCACAAATCTCTTTTGACATTTGTAGCGTCAGTGGTTTCTCAGTGCTGAGTCAAGTCTGCTGAATTACTGTATTTCTGTCAACTATCCATGTTAACAATTTCTTGTATCTCCAGTCGCCTCCTCTCATATAAACAGTAGATAAAACAGAGCAACATCCTTAGGTAGAATTATTCTCCTTTGTCACAGTTTCTCAAGCTTGTCAGATGTCGTCTCGCATCTGCTTTTTTTTCTTTTTTGTTTTCACCACCCAACTGATGTTCCTTCTGTTTGGAGAATTATGTTCTCACTGAGTGGTTCTCTTTAGATAGTCCCGTTTCCTCCCACAGTTAAAAACATCCGGGATTAGATTCGTTGTTCCCTCTAAATTGACCATGGACACGAATGTGAGTGTAAACAACTGTTTGTTTCAACATGTGGAACTGTAATGGGCTGGCCAACTGTCCCAGGAGCCAATCATCTCCTTCTCAGCCTGGATGCTGAATGTTTGGGCTGTGACTGAAAGAACCAGAGGTTTGAATCATCCAAAAACCTCTGACAACAATCTCATGTTTCTGAGCCGTTCCAAGGAGTATTTTTATCGGACACGACCTTTTCCCTCTCTAAATAGTTTCTCATCAGCACTGACAAATGCTTATGACATCGGGAAACGTTCAATAGTCAGTTTCACAAAAGCCAGATGAGGCAGAGTCACTTGGGAGGGAAACAGTTGCTGACCGTGCGTTCAGCCATTAAAGCTGGGGGGTGTTGTTGTAGTAGGTCATGTGTAGGACGCCACACCGGTCCTCTCTGGAGAGTTGGGCTGTGTAGTACAAATGCCTGTCATTCTGTGGTGGGCATGCTTTTCCCTTAACGCTATTTATAGGGTAGCGTTTACGCTGTGGTGATTGAGGGACGGATTGGTTACTTTCAGCTGGCGGTGGGGGCAATGACCCCATGTATCAACAGAGTCAGTGCCGTAGAAGCTGAGGTCATCCACTAATGTTTGAAGACCAAAACATGGGCGATGGAAGGGATGCTAAAGGAGGTAAAAGTACCAGTACTGTACAACACAGTATGTCAACAGTTCTTTATGTTATGGTTTTTTTGCTAAACATTTTCTTCTCTTCGCCCCATGGGGGGAAAAAAACAACAACAAAAAAACAAAAAACGGTATAACAAGAAGAAAGCATCTTCTTAACACTATAGAAATGGAGGAAGAATACGTTCAGTCAGTGGTGACAGGCACTCTTCACGGGGTTTCACAACATCCCACACAGTAGCCTAGTGTGTGTGTGTGTGTGTGTGTATGTGTGTGTGTGTGTGACCCCCTTTGGGCTGAATCTACATTATGCATTCAGAAAGCTGTATTCATTCATTTAATGCCCTGGGTTGACGGGTGCACCAGTAAAACCTTATGATCAAATTCAAGATTTCAAAGAATACAGCGTTGAATTACAGATATTTCATCTCTCTAGTAGTGTATGTTGTTATAGTCAGGCGATAACCAGGAGTTCATGCTGCGTATTTAGCAAGCAGATCTGAAGAAAGAGAGAAAACCTGATGGTGTGAATCAGCATTTTAGGTGACGAAGGCAAAACAGACTCCAACTTTTCAACTTTTGATTTGATGTAAAGTACAGTACGATTTTTCATTTGGGAAATCAATATCCAATTAAATACAGAAAACCAAAAGACATTTAAGGACTTTTGATTTGATGTAAAGTACAGTACGCTCCTACAGAAACAATTAACATATTTTTAAAAAGGGACAAAATGTATTGAATTTTCTGCTTTTGCAACAAACAAACCTCTCTCAGAGCACCTGCGTCATCAATGCTACACTTTTACATTATCTGAAGTATAAACCTGTGATTTATTACCACTCGTCTCGCCACTGGACAGACTTCGAATTAATCATCAAGTAACATACTGATGTAATTGACAGCTTAAAGCCGGAAATATTTATGTCGGGGGCTAAAAGCCCTAAAGACTCCTACATGCATTTAGCTCTCTCTCCTCTACATAATCGATGACGGACACTAAATGGTGTTCCTCTCAAATCCAATCTCTATTTTAAAACACACAATAGACAATGACCACCATTAGCCAGAGTACACTGCAGCTGGTCCCAACCCCCCACCCCCTCTCACCCCNCTCCCTGGGGCCTTGTGAAAGTTATTTAGAGTGGAATGGTTGGCGTTTTCACACATTCAGGTCCACTGCAGGCGGGTGTGTCCTGTATGATGTGACCCCTCCTCATGGCTGTAAGGCCATGACAGCTGTCATGCAGAAACCTAGCTGCTGGCTACTGTAACAGGATACCATGAAGCTGACCGTGCAACTCAATGAGACACATCTGCTGAAAGGTTCCAGATCCCCAGTGAGTTTTTACTGATGTGTCTTTAAAACAACAAGAGAATATTATTGATACATGTTTTATGCTGATGATGTAAAATAAACAATGGTTTCACATAGGTAGTAGGTGTGAGTTTAATTTTAGTTTTTTACAAGAGGGGTTTTAGTGCACAAATCAATTGCAAAAATAAATTAATAGTCAAAAGGAATATGATCTAGAATATATCTAGCTCTGCTGAATAATGTCACTACTGTCAGCCATTAACTTAACCGAAACAAATACATTCAACTTTCTAATTTTTTATGATTATTTTGTTAAAACGTTTAAATTAGGAACGGCAGTACGTGCTGAAGGTAAATAAAGATGAGTCCTGTTGGAGTGTTTTTACTGAAGAGGTCATGAATCCTTGCAACGTGCTGCGTTTACATTCTTAGCATTACTGCTCCTACTTGTGGGACATTTATGGATACAGCACTGAGTGCAAATAATTTACTATCATCTCAACTCAAGTGACTTGTCTGCACTTTCTTATGTACTAAAAAAAAATCCTAGTTTTCTTACTATGCTGCTACATCAGGCCAAGCGTATTGCCTTTAATGGAGAACACAGACATCCTCATCATGATGTACACATACAGTTAAAGCTGTGGAACTTACTATATAATGAAGCTATGTTAATGTTATCTGTGATCTGCAATGAATCCAAACTCCTACATATCCTGAGGCCTGAGAAGATGTCATCAAGTCACTACCTATGTTACTTGAAAAATAACTAACATTTCAATGATGGTAAACAAAAGCTCAATTTACACCTGGAAAGGTAACAAAGACCAATTTGCATTTTATCAATAAGGCTAAAGATACTTTTACACAATAAATGGATCTACTCTGCAGAAAAAAAAGCAGTAATTGTTTGACTAGATTGCACTGTTTTCAGTTGTTGAAAGTCGTCTTTGTTGATGTTTATGTAAACAGGCGGTCGTTGCTGCTTAATAAAAACCTTATCTGTAATGCTACAGCTAACAGTCATTTACTCATCTTTTTGTTAGCTCCAACAGGAGTGAAGAATGTGGCAGACTTTAAAGTAATAAAGTATTTGCCCAAAGCTGTTAAAGCAGAAGACGACTTCTTCTTCTCAAAGAGATTAAAAGTTCTTTGTAGTGTGACAAGACTTTCTTGTTAGAAAGTAGAACATCTTCTGGAAACCAAGACAGTCCAGTCGACTCCAGGTTAGCTGCTTTGGATAAAATGACCTGGGTGATGGAGAACCTACAAAGTCAATCAGTATTTGCGTTATGTATTTTATTCATTCTTCTTAGTCAAAAACTGTAGTTAGGTTTTAGCTGAGCACAGGAAACCGATAACATCTGAAACCATCACTTCATATCTACCAATTATCGTTTTTGCATCCTTGCACAATATGCATTTTAAGATGGTTTTAAAGATAGATTAGAATAAGCACTGTGAGTTCCATTTTTAAAAAGAATGGAGAAAAGACTATAGATGGAAAAACAACAGCAGAACAAAAGATTCCCTTTTTATTCCCAGTCCACTTATCTAGAAAGTAAATCAAATAAAAACTTGATTAGACAAAGTGCATTACAGCCAGAGCAGCATTACTTTGCATCTTTTACAGGTCCAGTGAGTGCATGTAATCGTGAGACTGCAGAGCGCCATTAAAAAAATGGAGGCTGACACTGCTCAGCCCCCCCTTCCTGAAACACAACTACGGTGGCCTTTCATTCCAGAAAGGATGTCCAATCTCTTTCACAATTCTCTCTACTTCCCGTCTCTGTCCATTCACTAGTATTTGCCTTCTTCTCCAGAATTCTGCTGTAGAATCAGAGTGACACACACTACACAGCCTTCGTCATAGGAGGCCATTCCACTGACTACTTGTATGCAACTAAGACTAAGGAAAACATTGAACTTTTTTTTTTTTTTTTTTTTTCCACAAAAAAAATTTTAATTGTGTTTGCCAGCAAAAACCCCCATGGGCACACCTTAAAAAAATGGAGGCTGACACTGCTCAGCCCCCCCTTCCTGAAACACAACTACGGTGGCCTTTCATTCCAGAAAGGATGTCCAATCTCTTTCACAATTCTCTCTACTTCCCGTCTCTGTCCATTCACTAGTATTTGCCTTCTTCTCCAGAATTCTGCTGTAGAATCAGAGTGACACACACTACACAGCCTTCGTCATAGGAGGCCATTCCACTGACTACTTGTATGCAACTAAGACTAAGGAAAACATTGAACTTTTTTTTTTTTTTTTTTGCCACTCAAGAATATTTTAGATGCTGCTACTCGGCAGTACCTCAGTGGGACACACTTAGCCATTAATTGCTCCTTTTTCCATTAACTTGTCAGGTTAGAGCCTGGTCCTTGCTCTCAGAGCCAACAGGGTTGTGAGGATGCTGTGAAGAGGAGGCAGCCCGTGTCATCCTGCCCCAGGCCACGCCTACCGCACTGCAGATCAAAAACACCCAGCTACGTCGCCCCGAATTCCAACTATGTCACACATTTAATCCATTATCTGTCTACAAACGTGGCAGTGTCTGTCCCTGACTCATCGGGGTCCTTGTCTGACATGAGAGCGAAGCATATTAGCTCAGAAAAAAAGACAACTTGGATGTGCTGTCTCATTCACTTCCCCACTTTCAGAATTAGCATACGCTAGCTTGCTGTGCAGTCAGCGGTTTGTTTTTGGTTTCAATTAATCAGCCAAGCTTTGACATTTTGGCTCTGAAACAACCGCCGCGGCTCCCGTCCTCTCAGTCGGGACAAAAACACAACATGTCGCTACTGTTTAACTCACCAGGAAGCTACAACACGAAACACAGCAAGAATAAAAGCATAATTAGCCATAACCAAACGCCACAGTGAATACAGCAGGAGAGTGTTGTTTTTTTTTTTTTTTTTTAAATATTTTTCATTACCTGTCATTGGGGGTTAGCAGCGGCTCTAGTACAGCGTTGTGTGAAGCCGTAAAGGCATCAACACTAACAAGGGCACGAGTGTTAACTCAACCGAGAAAAGAAGAGCGAAAGAGGGATTTGTTACCGGGGAAATGCGTCCTCTTTCAGCTGGTTTCGCGAGTCGGGTCCAAAGGAGCTCGTGTTTCCTGACAGTGGTGCTACAATGCCGCTGCAGCTCCCTCTGCTCACCACAGCACTAGGAACAGCAGCAGCAGCTGTAGCCAATCACACACCAGCCAGCAGCACACCGAGGAATTCTGGGATATCAGCTGCACAACCAGGTTATTATTTTGAGCGAACAAATCCAACTCAAAATGACAACAACAACAAACTTTTGTGTATAAAAAAAATCAGTTATTATGGCAAATATTCATTATAGTTGTTGTCCATTTTTAAACACAACTAGAAAGTAGTCAAGGGTTTTTTAAAAATCCTGTTTTTAAAATGGGCCTCAGTGAAAAAGTGGTTTAATACTATTGCCATACTGAAAAAATATAACTAGTTTGATTTTGCGTGGTTTTTCTGAATGGTGTTTGCATGTCTACTTTTTATTTTAAAAAATAATTTTAAAAAATTGAATATGAAATTTTACAGTTTTTTTTTACAGGGGACCAAAGAAAAATGCCTCACCTCAGTCTTTACCCAAACCAAGTCCTCAACAAACCCTTTCAAAGTAATGTCCTTACTCACTAACAGCACGGTAATTACTGACATGTGGTGTGTTGATGTCCACAGTAACACTAACCTTTATTTAATCAGGACGTGATTGAATGAAACCAAACTAAATATTTGGTGAAAGACAGAAACTATCTTCATTACAGTTCTGAAATGAATGGAAGAAACAATAACAATGTTACTAACAATAACTAAAATGATATAATATTTGATGTTGGGAGGAAAAAGAACAGCCTAAAATAGAACTCAATGACATTTCCTTCCCAGGGATCTGAGATATTTTAATAACTAACAGAGGCTTCATTTATATGATACTGTCATCGACCTCAATAAGTCCAAAGACAAAAGTCCAAGGATGTTTTTAACGTGGTTACAGGTTCAAAGCTGATAACTTTAAGAGCCTCCCCAAGGAGTTAACTCAGGTTTTCCACAGTAGTATCACCTTGAAATAATAAACCACAAATAAATTCCAAAAAAAAAGAGAAACTGTTACAACTTTGAGGTGACAAGTTTAAATGAAAACAGCATTAAAAAATAGTCAATTTTGTTCCTGACCTTTGCACGAACATCCAGTCAGAGCAGTTCAAGATCAAATGTGCTGCAGCTGCTCAACTATTCACTTCAGTTTGCTGGCGTACTTCCCTAAACTCTAACACATGTTCCCTGTTGTACACTTGGCTCATGTGATTGACCCAACGTCACAAACTGCTGTGTTGAAATTTAAATTCAGTGACATAATTCTGTTTTTTTAATGACTAAAAAACAGTTCCAAGGATTTTATTTTGACTGACATTTGATCTGCTTTTTTTTGTCATTTTACAAAATATCAGAATGTTATCGAAAAAAACCTAAAATCTTTACCATTGCATGAATTTCCTGAAAAATGACACTCCCAGACATACAGATATAAAAATGTACCACTGTGCAACTGATCCACATCTTTGCAAATAAAGATGTAGGCTCTGTCTTCCTTCAACTACTTTACAACAACCTTTCCATTTACTTGTTATTTCTTGTTAAATAGTGAAGTTATTGGCCATTACGTTCGGGCCTGTCACTCGACAAACGCATCAGTCAGCAGTAAAAGACATCCCAACAGCCGGCATGTGATCTTTGGACTAAACTCAGCCCACGTGGCTGCTTAACGCTTCACTTTTTTGCTGTGTACGGACAATTGCTCGCTGCAGCTCATCTGATGTGCAGACCAACTTTCAACTTCATTAACTTCACAGTTAACCTCTACTTTCAGTGCTGTGTTCTGTTTGTTCAGTAGCTATTTTAAAGCTAAAACTTTCTGTTCAATTCTGTTCTATACACAAAAAATCCCAGTGACGTTTATACCCAGAGCTGTAAAAATTTGCACGTTTGTCACGTTAATAATTTGTGGAATTGATCAGATTAAAACTTTTAATGCATGAGCAGGATGACACACGGGTGGGTCCAGTAATTCATTGATACACAGTCGATTCACACAACGTGAACTGATTGCTGTACTGACTTGAGGGGAAAGCATCTGAAATAAATGTAATCACTACCCTCTGTTGTTCAATCTGTTGCTAACTCAGCTCTAACAGTCTTCTGTTCTAGAGCGCTGCAGGTGAGTGGGCATACCTGCCGAATTAATACCCCTCCGTGACCCCTTTGACACACTGGCTGCCTTCATGTGAAGACATGGGAGCAAAGATGAATGAGTTAACGCATTTTACCAAATAAATAAGAACCACACCTTGACATTTCCCCTGCAGGAAGCAGTTTTTATCTGGAGGGCTCATAAATGTGGTGAGTATTTTCTGACCTTTGGAAAGTGTCAGGGCCATGACATTGTCTTTCAGATTACTACAACTCAGCTTGTAGTAATTTATTTTCACATAAAAAAAGGATTTAGAATAGATTACTGCAAGCTGAGTATTTTCACATAAAAAAAGGATTTAGAACAGAGGTGATAACAGTATAGGGTCACGACCCTAAAAGGTCATTTGATTATTGTTTGTGGATTTCTAAATGAATTGTTTTACCACCAAAAAATCAAAATGAGGCTGTAATTATTTGATTTTTTCTAATAAATATTTTAAAATAAAAGATAAGTATATACATTATACTGTATATAGTAGGGGGTCCCTGCACCATCTTCCTGTCACCTTGAGGGTCTTAAAGACTTCAAGACCTGATTAAAAATCATTTATTCTCCACCGTTGATGAGCTCAACGTTATGAGCATTTATAACAAACAGCTGTAGTTCCTGGGAAATAAACATGAAAACAAGTTTATCTGCAAAAATAAAGCACTTTTAAGGAGGACTTTAAACAGATCTCAGGCTGACGCTGCAGGTAAAGCCCCCAGTCTGTGTCTTTATAGGGACAAAAACTAGCCCACGCTGCTCTCAAGTGATCTGGCATCAGCAAAAGATAAAAAGACTCCCAACAAGCTTATCTCTCTGATTGAGTCATATACGTTATCAGGTTTCCATGATTAGCAGCACTCACACGTGTGTGGAGTTCATCTCACTCTGGCTGACTGTGGACTTCCACCGCAGCCCAGGGGCAGCTGGGTCATTTTGCCGACGTCCATTGACGTTTACAAGCCACGGATTTTGGTTTTAGCTCACAAAGAGTCCAGAACATGTTCACGTTTAAGAAGCAGACATAAATAGTTGTAAGAGACTACAGTAACATCCTAGATTAATCAGCGACGTGTACTATAGAACGCATGGAGTTGCAACTTTCAAAATGCCAGTTGAGCTGGTTTTCTCAATAATATTAATCGATCGTCAATCCCTCCAGCTCCATTTGGAATTGTTCCAGACAGTACAGTAAGTACGTGCAAATGAAAGTAAATTTGTCATTCCATGTGACTGTGTCAAAAAGATGCTAATTTGGTACGAATCAATAAAAAATAAAAATTAAATAACTTGTTGTTATTAAGACAAACATTTGTGAAGATTTTTTTTAAAAAATGAATCATTTCTGAGAGGTCAGTAAGGCAGACGGAGCAGAGATCTGCAGATTATTTCTACTCTCCTTTAATCTCCTAATTCTGTTTCATCCTTCCTCCTGCTGCACGCAGCATCAAAGGGCACTCCTGCACCACAGCGATAACGCCACTGATCATAACTTTCATATTCATTTGAATCCCTGTGATAAACAGTCAGAGATACAGACTACACCTGCTGCTATTGAATCGATTCGATAAAAGAAATCGAAGTTATATTATCATTATATGTCTGCCTTTTCCCTGCAATGCCTGCATTTCCCCAACAGCTGGCGTATGACTTTTTAGCCTTTTTGCATGTTTTTTACATGTCATTTATCTTAATGCTACATCTATCTGCCCCTGACCCCACCCCCCGCCCCCGCCAAGTTTCAGGACCAAAAGTTTGCCTGGCCTCAGGTCACAATCAGGGTCCAAGTGCAGCTAACCAGAACCGGCGTTGTCTTTATTTAGCCTGACCCTCTCTGTCAGACTCTACACCTAATGATGTGAACAGTTTTTTTGTCTATAGTCTGCATTCCACTCACTGCCAGAACTTGGAAATTCCCCATAATTACAGCCCTGCTGTGTTCCAGCGGCCTGGCTCGGAAAAACCAGACAAGAACCACGGTCGGCCACAAAATTTAAAATACACTTTCCATAAGTACACAGCACGCTGCGTATGGTGTTGTGTACTAACTACTTCCTAAGTGCACATTTCTAGTTTGAATTTGTAGCCAAGAGATCATAGGGGCCTTTGTGTAGTGTTGTGTGTAATCAAGTACGATACGTGCTGTGATACAATACTCTGGAAATCTCCTGGGAATTCAAGACTGAAAATATACTTAAATAACAGGAACTTATCGGAAGGTTTTGTTCTGGCCAATTATTTATGTGACCACTAAACGCAGCATGTCTCCGTAGAATGAAAGATCAGGCCGCTTGGTTTGCAGCTCACTACATAAGTACATTGTTAAAACAGCTAGCTGAGGAAATATAATAAAGTATTTAAGGGCTAAAAATCCCCCAGAAGGATGAGCTCAGAAGGATATTTATTGCCTGGAAACTTATTAAAAAAAATCAATCCAATGGGAAGAAGTCTCTCTATAACAATAACAATACATATATTTTTTAAAACAATAAAACTACCTCTTACCCTAAGAGCCTTTATTTAATAAAGATGTATTACATAATGTACAGCCAGTGTCCGTGGGCCCTGTGGTGCTGTAATAAACACGACGGCCCAAGTGCACTCCTCAACTGCTACAGCAACACGTGACTGTACTTCAACAACAGGCTGGTTTGGCTGATCTTCTTGAAGCAACAATGGTCTAAAGAAATGGTTCTCAAACTTTTTATACTCTGTACCACCTGAGGAAACATCGAATAAAGTCAATGTGAAAATATGAATTTTCGTACCACTGTTTTTCTGATTTCTGAAGGGACTATGTTCAAGGGATGGTGTCATTTAATTGAACGCCAACTTGTCACTAATACCTGAGATGGTTTCCACCACAGTGTGCACAAGTGCTGGAATGTACACAATCATAGGAGCCAATGAACATGACAAGTCCTACAGACTTTGACCAGGATTATCTCCTCTGTCCTGTCCATTCACCTTCATCATAAAACCCTCTAAAAACCTCTTAAACTCCTCAGCAGCAGTGAAGAAATGTCAAACAATAAAAAGCCACATTGTGCATGTTGAAAACATGTGCTTCAGAGACACAGCTCAATAATAAAATCATTTTTTGTCACTTTTTAAATATATGATTTGGTTTTCAGTTTTCAAACACATTTTATGGTCAAAGTTTGAAACAAAGATCTCCTTCCTACTTTGATTCTTTTACCCTTCTATTTTGGGTTCGTCTCAGAGGAAACACAAGCTGTGAGAACTTCCCATTTCCAAGCTGTGTCCAGCAGACGTTTTGATCAGGTGCGTGGGCGAGTGTGTGTGTGTGCGTCAAGGGAAACCATATGTGCTTACTCAGCAGCAGCTAAGACATTGAGAAATGCTGATCGAGCCTGTTGACAAGTCAGTCATTAAAGTGTTACTCTGTTATACCACAGTATTATAGTGTGAAATAATCAGTGGCTATTTCATGATCATCAGTGGTTACTTTATCAAACTGCACCCTGTGACACCAACTGCCCTGGGGTCAGCTGACCTTTCATAAAGATAGTCGCAGGAACAGTCGTAGTAGCATCAGTGCAGGCAGGGCCACGGTTGGAACCAGTTTCCCTCTTCTTGTCTAAGCTCCTCACACAAAGGTGTTTTTGTTGGACTTCTATTCATTTGTCACCTTATTTTTGTTCTGTGTCATTAGCCCCATGCTTTGTGTCTGTAAACTGATGACAGTCAGACAAAAGTCCCCTCAAGTCTTCCACTGTACTGATCATAAACGTACACTTCCTTTTGTCTTTTTTCATACATGTTAGGTTTTACTTCCACACATTTTTTTTTTCAAATCCGTATTCTAATTCATATTTTGTCATATTTTTGTATTTTCAAAAACAAGCTCTGTAACGTACTACCCATTTACTCTGAATGGAAACTTGAACTCACCGTGTTAGGTTTAGGGTCAGCGGGAGACAGCAGGACACGGCGAGTTGGCAGGTCCAGTGTACAGAAAAGAAAGAAAAGAAAAAATAATATTTTAATAAAATATTCTCTAATGTGTCACAGACGTATTTGTGCATGTAAAAATATCGTAACTCTACTTCAGGAGTATTACACGTAGGGAGATGAGTAAACATGTATTGTTCTTTAAAGCAGCGCAAAAATAATATATAATAAAAATGGAAAGAAAACTTCACCTGACTTCCGTGAGAGCAGTCAAATGGCCTCCGAGCTTCAACTGCGACCGCTGCCTGTCACCGGACACCGGGAATCCCGACGACAGACCCGTCGACTGTGAAAGTACCAGACACCTGTAAACTCCTGCTCTCCTGAAGTAAACGTGCAGCGACGACCCGCCTTAACTCCGCCCCCATCACTACCCGTAAACCACACAAACATAAGACAAACACTGTCGTGTGTTTGTCTGGCGGCTCCTGCCGGCAGCTTTACGGAACAGCAGTGAGTGGAGGTCAATGACCACTAGATGTCTCTGTTAGATGGTACAATGATAACGTTACAACCAAACAACACGACATAAAAGTGTAAAATTAAATTAGATTACATTTTAGCATATAGTTTTGTGTATTTTTCGAAAGATAATATACTCAGTCAGCACAATAAAGTTTATAAAATACAGAAACAAATGCATAGCTTGTATAAATACTTTGTGTTTAATCCTCTGTATTTCGGTTTAGTGATTTATTTCTTACAATGACACTCCCCCTTCCTTCCCCTCCTCCCCCCGTGCCTTCTCAGGTGTACAGTGCAGTGTTTCTCAGCAGTAACAGATTTTTTTTTTTTTTTTTTTACAAATGGTGGGATGTTTCTGGGATAAAATATTTAAAATAGAGCCAGTGGGTGGCAGTGCTTTTCTTTGTCTAAGTCAAAAGATTAGACCCATATATAACAATAATGTTGTGACAGTACACTCAACCTGTGGACTACCCACGAAGCACCGCTGCAGGGGAGGAAGGCTAGTCACAGACACTACAGAACGCTAACATAAATACCAGAATTCTGAACAGCAAGACTTAAACTCCAGAATACTGCAGCGACACAGAGTTTTCTTTAGTCATTCCCTGGGACATTTTGTCACATTTGCTGTGAGGCGCAGGACAAACGTATTCCCTGCTCCATTACAGGCCTTTTTTACTGGCTTACTAGTATTTCCTTCAACAGTCACATCCACAAATGAGGTCAGAACACAACACACTTTCTCCACTACAGCCCTGATTTTAGGGATTACACAGTTTGCACAGTGTGCTCCCATCACAGATCATGTAAATTAAATTATTCATAAACTGGAATCGGAACTCCTTCTTCAATAGACTGTAAAAAACAAAAACACAACTTTTAAAATACTCAAGTGACCACATTTGGACCAAAACAAACGAACAAACGAACAAAAAATGTTATATAAAGCAGGTAGGAATGTTTTTTTTTTGCACTTGCCTTTCTCACTTTTCCCTATAAAATACCAAGGGGGCAAAGATGGCGCAGTGGTGAATGTGAATGTGTATCTGGTCTTAAACTCTCCTGTGGTGTGACGCCTCGGTGAAGGGACAGGCTGAGAGTTAATCCTACCTCAAATTTGCCAAACATCCGAATCAGCAACTTCACAGTGAGTCTCAGCTAATTTACCCTGTAGAAGTAAAAAGCAGGTATTAAAGAGATGAGCTGCACAGGTCACTACAGATTACTGGTCTCACTCCAGTTGGCACAGATAATGTAACATCAATACCACTGCAGTGTCTCCCAGCAGAGTTGCTGAACTGCATTTTTACATCGTTACACACAAGAACGTTCACACTTGGACGGATTTTTATTAAATGCTGGTGGAACCGCCTGGGTCATGGGAGATAAATAAAAACAAAAATCAATATTTAATGTAAAAGAAAAGCCATTTAGAGCCACCAGGATGTGTTACAGTCAAGTTTATTCAACCAAGAATGATCTATATAAACAAGTGTGCACATGTAAGGTGGAGACCTGGTCCTAAAGGCCCTGTTCCTAAACCAAAACTCTACCTGAGATTCAATCATGTCACACACTCACATGATATTCACGCACAATGCAGAGAAATAAATCTAGAGTCACTGTTCTGTAACATATCAATGCTACAGTGCAACATGTCAGACGGTAGTTCTTAGAGACAGGTTTGGCAACTCTACAAGCTACAGTGTTTGCCCTCTACTGGTATAAAAAAAAAAAGAAAGAAGAAGGTTCAATCTCATCAGGTCAGGAAATGCTTTTCTCCATAAAGTTTTTACTAAATCTCTCCAGAGATCTTTAGTATTGCTCTTGCTACATTGGAAAAAATAGAAAATGTACATCTGTGTTTTGGGCTGAGGGTGTGTTTTTTTGTAAAGACCTTGCTCTTGAGTGTTCATGGCTATGTTTCAATAGTCCTTAGGTGCGAACTCGGCACGATTACTTCCCTCTGTGGCGGACAGCGTCGCATCAGCCACCAGAGAAGCAGCCGCCGCCAAAAACAAAGCCTAGTTTTCTCCAGAGGAGATGGGTGTGCCCAGGTTGTGCTCTACTCCGGCTTCTCCTTCTTCCACTCCCGCCTCAGCTGCTACTTCCTGTTCAGTGGCTTCTAAAGAAGTGTCTGTATCGGGGGCTTCAAAGGAGTCGCCCCCTAGGTCAGTCAGTTTGATATAGCCCTTACTGCCGGAGCGCTCCAGCCGAGGGCAGCTGAAACGTCTGCCTCTGTCGCCTTGACTACACACAGACACAGACAGGCTGCAGCGCCTCGCAGGCCTGGGCTGATCTGTGAGGGAGTTGAGGGAAAGTCGTGACCCCATCGCCCTGACAACAGGTGATGGAGGAAACAGCTGTGTCCAGTGTGGCAGAGACTGAGGCTGAGGCTGAGGCGCCCCCTCTGGGTCAGCCGTCTCTGTGGACACGTCCTCGTGGCTGTGATGGGACGGCTGTTGGTCTGTTGGCGAAGGGTTCTGTTCTGTGCTTTTGGTGTCATCAGTCTGACCGCAGCAGGCCTGCATGTCCTCACGTAGGTTTTCGGCCGCAGCCTCGATGACGACGCCCTCCCCAGAACGACCCTCCGCCTCGGCCCTCTCCGACTCCTCCACCTCACAGTTGTTTAGTTTGATTACGGGGAGGGTGAATGCGTTGACAGAGGAAGTGACTATGGAGGTGGTCTCCCACTGCCTGGGCTGTGGTGCCTGTTTGCTACTATTGCTGTAGTCCTTGTAGATGCTGTACACTGTGTCTGTGAAGGTCTGGACATCTTTGGACCAGCTGCGTGGACGGCCCGCTAAGGATGTGCGTCTAAAACCATCCTCACCCCCTGACTCACCCTGAGGACCTGCTCCGGCGGACGGCCAGGAGCTGCGGGAGAGCATTCCACTTGCGGGAAAGGATCCCGATGGGCCCTCGGCGCTCCTGGACTGGGTGTAGTTCACCAGACCGTTCAGAGGCGAGTAATCCTTGGAGCGTATGCTGTGGAGATCGATGACTGTGGAGTAGATGTCCCTCAGATTAATGATTTTTGTTTTTTTGTCTCGGTTCTCATGAAGGACTGCATTAGCGCAGATGAAGAGAAAAATGCCAATTCCCATCACTAGAGGGCCAAAGACCTTCAGATTATCGGAGTACAGGTAATTGTCCAGGAAGTCACAGAGGACGCCGCAGTGAGGGGACGGCTGTGCTGTGCTGCTGTTGGTGTGGCTGGCATTGAATACATTGGACTGGCCGGGGGAGGACCGCTCCTGCGTTGCATTTGAGGACACAGGCAGACTTTTGGAAAAACTCATTTTGTTAGGGTGGTACACTCCCGTTCTGCGGCGCTCCTGGTACTCATGCTGGCTCTGGCTGGGCCAGTACCCCAGTATAGCCATGGAAATCCCCACCATGAGGACGACGAGTCCAACAGCAGCCACCAGTCCAGCGGTGGAGCACAGATTGAGTTTCCCCTTCACCACCACCACGTCGTTTTTCTTCTTCTTCTTAGATTTCCGCTTCTTTTTATTTTCCGCTCGGTTTTTGGAGTGGAAGGAATCCTGACGCCTGTTCATGCGCAACAGGCCCCCTGTGGCTATCATGGCGTCAGTCGGACAGCGGACTCGTCACTCAACCTGGCGGGAGACAAATCAGAGAGTCCAAAGTTAGAAATCCACCGTGAATAGACACAGAGACGCAGTAAAATCTGATTTGACTGAGGGATTAAACATGTAATCCAGATTTATTCAAGGCTGAATTATTGAGCAGGCAAAGGCTGAAGAACTGAATCAAACCCACGACTTTTGCTGTAGCATGTTTGACATCCTCACTGCTACACATATCTGCTATGAAAGGAGGTTTTTACAAATAAAAAAAAAATAAGACAGTGATGGATTTTCAAATAATCCATCACTGTCTTACTCTCAGTTTCTAACTCATAATCAGCTAAAGTTTTTTAACATCTTCTCTCTGTTGATCTTAGCCTATACTGCCTGTATTATGCAACTCTTCTATCAAGCTGTAGATGAGAGAGACAGAGTTGGTGAGTCATTCAGTAATTGTCACTCAAATCAGATCAAGTAGTTCTCACAAAGTTCTAATAAGGAGATTTCTTTTCCAGCATAAAATAACTTTTGTATTTACATCAAGTTAACCAAGATATATGGCTGATGGTCTTCTGTGATATAACCGTGTTACTTCCTCCTTTTGAAGCGTACTGTAGTTGGTTAGCAACAATATGTGCAGAGTGAAACTCCAGGATCATGGTGAGGCTTCGTCAGCTGAAGCCAAGTCCTCACAGGATTCTGTGGCTTTAATCTATCCCTGTGACAGGGATTATCCCGTAGATAGACAACACACTGATTCTATGCAGAAATCCAGATAGAGATGCAACACTGGTCACCAGATGGACGCTAAATCAACAGATAACACCCATCTGCTGCGGCCCAGTCTAGAAGTACGATGATGTAAGCTGAGCACAGACAAACATCCAAGTTGACAGCGTCGAACATGGGACTGCTGCGTGTCTATTTCCGGCTGTGTAGGTGCAATATCACAGGATGGAAATGTAATGTGTTCAGACAGGAGGGCGGCCGGCACGTTTCTCCCCACACTCTTCCAGCTTCCGTTCCCTGTATTTCTTTTTTACCCATCAATCTTCAACACTGGCTCCATCCATCTATCTATTTCTACTCTTTACTCCTTGTGCAGGGATGTGATGGAGTCGATCCCACCAGTCGCTGGACAAAGACACGGAACATTCAGGACACATACATGACCATTCACCAGGGGTCACCAACTACAGAGATCTTTGGGGCCGGACACTCAAATAAAATGAAATATAAAAATCATATTTTGGTCTAAATGGAATGTAAAGAGAGTCATTCATGGTGTTGATCACTGATAGTTATTTCAGTTAAGCTTTAATAGCGGAGAACACACAATATTTTCATTTTGATCCTCACAACTTTGGCCAGATTTGACAGTGTGGTGGGCCGGATTTGGCCCGCGTACCACCAGTTAACAATCCCTGATGTCTGAGTGTCTAAATGATCTATTTCCCAGTTTTTATCTGTTTTGTTCTGTAGGAGAAAACAGAAGTAAAAACATAAAAAGAACTGGAAAATACACAGAGAGAACCTCCAAACTCCACTGGTAAAATCCAGTCAAGTCATTCGTCATGATGATAAATAATAAAGATATCTCCACATGTTGACAACAGCAGTTAAAGCTTCTGCCTTCCACGACGTCAGTGTTCTGAACACACCAACCAGGACCGGAGGAGTGGAAGTCCAAAAACCGTGGCAGAGCCTCCAACCCTCCTCATGACTTCAGATTAATGGGTTTGGACCACATGTGGTGAGAACAATCAAAGAACGGGGCTGATTAATAAGACACACTGCAGGGGGGGGGGTCGGGGGGGTCGCAGTGATTCTGGATGGCGAGGCATTTGAGTTGACTAATCACAGTTAATTGTGTCTGACTTAGAGATCAGATTCATGAATAACTCATTACACAGATCCACAGCACGGGGGATTGAAACCCATCAATGAACCCAGGTACTGCAGTACTCACAGCTAGGTGGTGCTCAAGGGTATTCAAGTTTGTCCTTTACCCTGATTAGTGTTGTTTAAAAAATATGAAAACAACTATCATGTGAAATGATTCAGTTGGGGTTTAACAATTGTATTTCAGTTACTGTGTTTCTAGAATGACCAACACTCGAGTGTTACACCTCCATAAAAACATCTGCACCAGGACCAGGACCAGTGATTGTTTGACCCAGAAATCACCACACATAAAAAATGAACCACTAGAATGACTTGTACTCACAATTACTTGCAGATTCAAAACCAACATCCTGCAGCAGAACTGCCTCCTACAACAATACCAGACCTCAAAGGAATTCAGACAAAATTGTAGGAGGAGTACTTCAAAACCAAACAACGAATACTTATGAGGTATTTTTGGGCATATCAGAGTTATACAGAATACCTACAGTAGTTTGTATGTGCATGTAAAGTTTGTACTTTTTGTTGTGTACTCTCTTAACTGAAGGTGACTTGATTGTCTTCTCAGTTCAACGCTCTGGAGAATGTTAATTCAGATTTTTGTGTTGGAAAACAAAATCGCAGCCAGGATCACTCCCACTTATTTACTTTTATGACCTTTTCTTGGGGAAATCTGTTCTTTGGGTCGCATGGATTTCCTTCATTCTCATAGGTCACATCTTCAAAGAGCTTTGAGTTTTAAATGATTCGTTAAGTACTCTGCTTTCTTACTTTGGGCTAACATTTCTGCCTAACAGTATTTTTTTCTAGTGACTGATTTATTACTTTAGGAGAAGATTCTGTCGGAAATTCCAAGCAAAATCAACTCACAGTCACACACTCAATGGCCACTACATGAGCGAAGCCTGTTCAGCTTTTACTGAAGTCATAATCATTACAGAGTTCTCTTGTTAACCCCCCCCCCCCCCCCCCCAAAAAAAAAAAAAAAAAAAATCGTGCACAGCACTGCAGGTTAGAGCACGAGGCCAGAAAGTAGAGACCAGTGTTATCTGCACCTCTGCCTCAGCAAACAACACACCGGAGCTCAGCTGCTGATAATAGGGACGCGCTCTGTATTTTACATGCAATAACCACTCAAATGCCTCCCAGTAAGAACAAACCAACCCCCGCTGGAGCTGCTGGAGCGTAGGCGGCGCTCTTTCTGTGTTTAGGGAGAAAATGGACAGAAGCAGCAGCAGCAGCAGCAGCAGCAGGAGGAGGAGGAGGAGGAGGAGGAGTGGGGTGTGGACGTGTCAGAGTGGGTCGCTGTCCATGGTGCTGAAAGGACAGCCGCCAATTCAAGTCGTCTGACGGGCGACGGAGGTGAAGAATTATGGCTCGGTTCGTCCAAGGTGTCGCGCATTGGTGCTGGAGTGTTGACACTACAGTTTCACTCCTGCAGGAGGGGCTGGAGGAGGAGGAGGAGGTGGAGGAGTGTGTGAGGGGGGGAAACTGGTAGAGAAAAGACGAGCTGCTTCGTATCTGGAGTTCTGAAAATGTCCAGAGCCACAGCGACGCACGACATCGCTGTAATTCTTGACTCTCACGAGGCGCAGATGACAAACATCCACACCTCTGCCACGGCCTGACAAAACCCATGCGTGGACACTGCATCTCAGAGTTGTGTCATAAACCCCCCCGATCTGCGCCTTCTCACACTAACAATGTTAAAACAGACTATTTCCCCCTGGAAACTTGCAGGAAATAAACAATATCAACAGCTTGGTCATAAAAAGTTGAAATTGTAGCGCGTCAGAAATCCAGACAAAAACGCCTTTTATGAATCAAAAAAATCTATTATGATTTTTAAAAGGCATATTTAACAAAACAACCTAAGATGTCTCTCAGTATAATCGTCTCCTCCATCACTGACAAAGTACAGAGAGAAGACAGTGCGGCGCTTCAGGTCGTTCTTCATCTCCAAACACTTGTTTGCTTTAATTGTACGATTATTATTAAACCTCCCTCTCGTTCAAACGACGCCTTTTTACCTGGACACAACCTGTTTGGTTGCGACTGGGCTCGGCCGTAGGTCTGAGCCCGGGATTCGGAGGATGTGCGGCAGGAGATGATAGTGATGCAGTGAAATTGATGGAAGACACTGATGAAAACGACACACGGCGCGTCTCCTACCAGAAATCGTGGCTTCACAGTCGAGCATCTCCTCCTCCTGCTCCTCCAAATGTCGGTGTGCGCCACTTTGGTGCCACTGCTGGAACAGAGTGGTTCCTATTTGAAAACCGATCCTCTCAGACCGGCAGGGGCGGGCCAAGTGCACTTCCATTGGTGGGGACTGTTGAAAAAAAAAAACGTGAGGGGGGAGGGGGGGAGGCTGGGGTGGGGGCTGCTCAGGACATTCATTATACTGAACTGATGTTATACTCCAAACAGTTTTCAGGCTCCCTTTTTACTTCAGGGTAAACATACAGACATGTAACAGTACTGTAAACAGTGCTCTGTGTTCTTAGCTGCTCCTAAACTACACTGTCGCTCTTACATTTTTATTTACTGGGGCGGTCAGTGGGATACGACCCTCCTGGTGGTCGTCAGGGTTCAGTTCCAGCCCGTGGTCATTTGCCGCAGCACCTCCTCGTCTCTCTGCACCTTTCTGGACTGCCTGTCTAACAACTGCACACACAAAAAACTAAATACATAATGTGTTCTGTTAGTGGTTCTCAAATGGGTGTGCGTGGACCGCTGAGGGTACTTGAGTCTCCTAAATAATATATATTTTCATGTGGTTCTTGATATGTAACTGTGGTGTTATACTGTAACTAGTGTGGCTCCTACCATTCACCCTCCCCCTCTTCTGCAGCCTGTGTGAGACGTTCAGCAGCAGAGACCCTGCATGAAAGGGAGAAATGACAACTTGGAAGGTGGAAATGAGCAGTAGAAAACTAATTGGCACCAACGATTGCCTTAAAAAATAATCTTGGAAATATTTTTCTTTTTTTTAAGAGAAGTGATGTCAGGAGCTGCTGATCATCTGTCTCACATTTCTCCCTTGGGTGACTTTTTAATTGCAGGCTGCATCTCCAACTTGATCAGAATCACAGATGACTCCAGATGTGACACGCTGATGATACGATGGTGAGACAGAAGCGCTGGGCATAACAAATCTCCCGTCCTCATACAGCAGATAATTGACTGCAAATGCATGCCCGAGAAGAATGTGTTATGTTTTGTGGGCATGAATTAGTGAGAAAGTGGAGAAAAACTCCGCAGGGACATTAAAAATCTTCACAGATACAGGAAGTAATCCAGGGAGTTTATGAAGCCACGGTTAATCCATGATGTCACGCGCTGCTCTAAGAGTCTAAGGCCTGGAACAGCTTTTCAGTGGAGCATTAAGTTGGTGTCATATAGGAAGATGTTTTACTTTCTCGGGAGAGGGGGGGGTCAGGGGTATAAATAAAGTGCTGGTAAACACACACACACACACATGCAGCTACCCTCCCTCTCCTGCACGGGGGGCTGTAAATGTGATCTAAATACCCTGGTCATTAAACTTATATAACTTCATAATCCTGTAGCTAAAACAACACCAAGCTCACAGTTTCATTTGCAGTACTCATGAGTTTAAAAAAAAAAATACTGCAGAATTGTACGTTAACCACTGAAGTGAATCCCCTCCGGTGCTTCAAGTTTTCACCCATGGCAAATACATCCTGTCGGCAGCAGTGAAGGAACCGAAAAGGAGAGAAGAAGATGGCTGTCCTTAACTGACTGTTAGCTGAACTGCCTCTGTCTGAGAGTCGATTTTTATTTTCCACATTTAGCAATTGTTAGTTCATCCACCCGTCCGTTATCTACCACTGATTGATTCCTTTGCAGGGTCAAAGGGCGACGGCAGGGTCAGACGAAGGTGAGGAATCTTTTCATTCTGTGATGAAAGAATGAGTTCATTTAGTGAATAATAGATCACACAAGTGAGTCTCCTGCTGTGAGATGAGCCTGACCTCTGACCTTTGTCTTGACAATAACTGACAGACTTGATATTTCTGTCACTCAGCAGCGCTCCATTCTCACAGTCAAACGTTTGCACCCAGAGGAGAGGATACAGTCACAGGGCAGCACCCAAACAGACAGCAAAAACTCCTAAGTGGATGATTGACATTTCATTCTGTCGAACACAGTGTGAACGTGGAACGTTGGCCTTAAGTGAGGG